AAAAAGTTGAAGACGTAAACGAGACTCCTAAGTAAACATATTTTCTACAAGTTTCAATTTTTTCGTTATGAAAAAAGAAGTTTTGATTAATTGGTTCACTGCCACCCCGAGAGAAAATTAAGACTTTTGTCTTTTTGCGATTAACGGTAAGTTGGTTTAAGGTCGTGTATTCCTCAAGTGCAGTTAGTTTTCTTTTTAGACCCGACTCCGTGTCGGAAAGAACGACGGCATCGTCACAATAAAGTAAGGCTAGAATATCAGAAATACCATCAATATTTACCCCTGACAAGTTTTTGTTTCTAAAAAATATTTCGAAGTCTGATAAAAAAGCGGAAAATAACAAAGGGCTTAAAGGTTCGCCCTGAAGAACGCCTACTGAGACTGGAAATTCCTTAGTTAGCTCGTTGTTACTATTAATTTTGAAGTTAGCATTCTCGTAGAGCACTTTAATCACCGAAATCACTGTGGATGAAAATCCAAAGGTGTGCAGCTTTCTCCACAAGAGGTCATGAGAAACAGAATCAAATGCTCGTTTAAAGTCAATAAAAAGAGCATATATTTTGCGTCGTTTTAAACGGAGATGTAGCTGTGTTGTTGTTATCAAAGTAAAAATGTTATCTGCACAACCTCTGGACCCTCTAAAGCCGCTCTGGCATTCCGGAATTAATTGATTTTGTTCAGCCCATTCTTCCAACCTAATTAATAATATTGTAGAAAATAGTTTTACAATGCAATTTACTAACGCGATTCCTCGATAATTGTTAACATCATCCACAGGACCGTTCTTGTGTAGCATCGTAAGAACAATGTTAGGTACCCCAACATTTTGGGATATCGCGATATTCTAAAATTTTATTGAAAAACGAACACAGATATAAAATCCAATTTGATGGGAGTGCTTTGTAGAACTCGTACGGTACTCCGTCTTCGCCTGGGCTTTTGTTGTTTTTACAGCGAGCTAATGCAAGGTGGATGTCATTCAATGAAATATCCCTATCTAAAACAGGATGTTTTGCATCAAAAAAGTTGTATTTTAGTTCAATGCGAGGATTAATTGTAGAACTATAAAAATTTTCCCATGTTTCGGCAGGCAGCCCTAAATTGTAGTTTGCACCTCTACGCAGTTGTCTAACAGTGCGCCAAAAGTCAGCTGATGATCTAATTTGGGTTAAAGCTGAAAATGCTGCCCTCTCATATTCACGCTTCTTTTTTCCAATTTTATATCTAAAAACTTTTTTTGCTTCAAGAAAACGTAAACGAAAGGAATCGGAAAAACTGTTTTTCTTACAAAGTTTGAGAGCACCTTTCACAGCTTTCTTTGCTGAAAGACACTCTGTGTCAAACCAGGGTTTACTTGATTTGTTTAAAGTATTATTAGAATAACGGATATTATGCCTTACCATTTGACATGCATCGGCTGAATCCCAAATCGCAGTGATTAAGTTGTCATGTGCTGACTCGATATTTGGAGTAAAAATAATTTTAGGTGATAAACGCATAGTATTTTTAAAAATATTCATTGCTTGGGGATTCCACTTTAAACTGGATTTATTTATGGGCCGATTGGCTTTGTTGTTGATGTTATGAGATGGTCTAAAACCGCCTACACATAATGAAACCCTGACAGGGAAGTGATCAGACGCACTAACCTCACATAGTACCTCAAGATCTCTAATAAGCGACAGGCTCTGATTCGAAACCCATGCCAAATCGATTGTACTTTTCCCATTTTTATTAACAAAAGTAAATTGTGCTGGTTTGTCTGAAATAGTTCTTCCATTCAGTAAAGATAACGAGTTTTCGTGCATATATTCGATAAGAGTGCGCCCCCTCCTTTCCAAAGTATTGTCAAGAAAGCTGGCATGATTATAAAGATTGGTACCCAAAAAAACATCTGCAGGTGGGGATACACCATTTCCAATTCTACAATTAAAGTCACCTACGGAAATTATCATAACACCTGGGTACAAATCGATGCAATGCATTAATGCTAAATGAAAATTCTCTAAAGTATAAGTAATATCGTGTTTTCTATTAAAGTATACACAAATAATTATGAAATCAATATTTTTGTTTTTAACATAAACAGTTATCCACCAAGGCGACGTATCCAATATGACGAAGTGTAAACTTTTTTGTAAAAATAACGCGAGGCCACCACTAGCACGCCCGGATGATTTTTCCCTAGTCGCCTTAGAATATACTGAAATGTAATTTTCACAGAAAAAACTGGGCAGGTCTGCAGGATCATTAGTAAGCCACGTTTCACAGAAGAAAAAAATATCAGCAGGTATTGTTTGTAAGTCTAGGGAATTTAAATTGTTAAAGCCGGCTACGTTCCAAAAGAAAAGACTGAGTGGTTGCTATGCACTTTCATCCACGTTAGATTTCTTTGAGTCATTTTGTTGAGGTGAAAGCGAAGCTTCAGATGAATTTCTTTTGTTTAAGCCAGAAGGACCAGCTTTGTCGTCTACTACTATTGAGGGAGTATTCTGAACGTATCTGATTGTCAAGTTTTTTTCACCATTTTTAATGCGGCGATCAAGCTCATTTCTTAAATTATTCATAAATTGGATCTGAGATGGCGTTTGATCATGTTTTATAGAGGCATACGGATAAGGTGATTTGCTTATGTTGTGTTTGTTTTTCAGCACATTTATAACGTCGGTTTTGCTGTTTAAAGTAAGTCTCAAAATTTTCTTTTCGTGACCCATACGCTTTAGATCTGTGATCTGTGGAGTATGAGGATTCGGCACAATACTAGTTATAAAGTTTGTGGCCGCTTGCTTTTCATGTAAGAGGTCTGATTGTTCTGGAATTCCTCTAATAATTAGATTACGTTCGCGTCTAGCTCGATCGTTTGCTTCTGCCAAAAATTTATTGATGGCTAATTCGTCAGAATTTTCCACCTTCTCTACTCTCGCATTGAGGACAAGAACATCAGATTGTAGGACAGATATTGTTTGTTCGCAACGATCAATAGCCTTTTCATTTTCAACAACGCTCGTGTGAATTGACTCAATTTTAGTATGAAGTGACGAAAACTGTTCCATGATAGATTTAAATTGCATATCGCTTATAGACGAAACTTTGGAGTCAAGTTGATTACCGCCTGCCTGCGATGAACTTGAGTCCTCGTATTTGCTGCATAAGTTGCAAGTGAAGCGTTGCATGGGTTCCCCAGCGGGCGTCTCGAAGAGTACCGCATTTCCGCAGGCAAGATGAGATCGCTTGTTGCATGTGTCACACATCTCCGAACTTATCCGAGCACCAAACTCGCGAGAGCACGAATTACAGAAACCGACCATGTTGGAAAATGTTGTAAACAAAATCTTTCCTAATGCTATTGAAATTGAACACTTTTCACTTGGTTGAGTGTAAAAATTTAAGCTGTACAAACTTCAAACGATTAATAAATTTATTAATACCAAGTAATAATAATCACTAGGTACTTTAATGACGATATTTTGTTCGCAAAGTTTAGAACGCGTGAGCTGCGATGTTTACACGGCGATCGCAACAACTCAACTTTTTAATGTACACTGTGTGCTTACACAACGAACTACACGTACCCGTCACGTAAGAAGGCGAAAGATCCCGCATCCCCACTTTCAGTTCATCTGATTGCGATTAAACTTTAAGGAATACTTTCTGAGTTAGTAAAACACTTTCCAACATTCCCACGGGAACGGGAACAGGAAAAAAACGGGATTTGATGCTTTACAGTCGAAAAGAGGCTTGACTTTTAGAATGTAGGTTTCTTTGAAAGCATTAAGGTATACGTCGAATGAATTTCCGGAGGTTTCCGCGGGAAAAATTGGGATTTCCCAAAGGTGCTACGAAGTTCGCCGGAACTGCTACTACACAAATAAACAAAACTGAAAATTTTAATTAAGTAATTAGGGGGTTGTTTTCCCGTAGTAGGGATCGATCTTATTTTCATGATAACTCGCTCTAATACTAAATACTTTTTTAAAAAGGAAAGAATATTTTAATACTTCAAAAAAGATTCTAGAGGTTTTTCTCGAAAAATGCAGTTTTCCAGGTATTTGACTTTGAAGTTCTTTAATTTAGCGTTTGACGAACAACCCATAGCTCGGTTCGTATTGGTCATTCAGCCATCAAAAATCATTTACTTTGTTTTTTAAAAGCTAAAATTTTGTTCTCCACAATTTTTTTAAATAATGTGCATACTTTACTAGTTTTTTGCGAATAACCAATTATTATTTACCTTTTCTATGAAAAACTGATACATTCGGCCGCGAATAACAAACAAAAATGTATAGAGCACTTTTTGCTTAGAACTAATTTTTATATTGGAACCACCCAGGGTAGAGGGTGAAAGCGCCCTTTGATCCTTAGGATATTCCCTACATAGTACATAATGTCCTAAATTTCAAGTTAATCGGTTCATTTTGCAAAAATGTCCAGGTCAGAACCTCAAAACCCACTATCACTATACCGTTTTTGGGTTACAAATACAAATACTAGAAATTACATAAGAATTTTGAAATGTTAGCAAAAGAATGCGTTAGATTCTTTTTAGAATGGTATCTCTTTTTACACACTTTTACAATGCGATTTTGTATTTATATAAAAACTTGGTGGTGATTTTATTTGATGCGAAAACTCTACTCAATTATTTTGATATGTTGAATGGCGTTTTAGCTGAGCTCCGTACAAAAGGCTGCAAAACTCCTTTGTTCTCTCTGTAGTTGACAGTAAGTTTCTACATTTTGGGTAATGTAAAGCCTCTGTAAAAAAATACGTTTCGGAATTAGCATAACTGTAAGTTCTCTAACAATGACAAATCACGGTATAGTCACTGTTCCCCCAATGTGCTTCCATTGAGGAAACTTTATCCTCCTACACGAGAATGAATATGGGAAACTTAGTATTCATAGTCCAGCGCATAATAGGTATTTGGATGCAGCAACCCCAAACTCATAGAAAGTTCTCCTATCGATTGCGCATTTACTAATGTCATTTATTTGTTTCAGGCGCAGCGACTTTTTGGGATGTTCGTCGTTCACAATCAAGAATGTTATTAAAAAGGTACAGTTTATGTTATATCTTAATCCTCCATAAATTTAGCTTCCAATTCTTATCTACTACGCGTAACAGTTTAGCGCGGATTATTTTGTCTCTGATACAGCAGAATGGTTTTAGGGATTTGATTCGTTCCCCTTTACTTTCGCTTACTCTAGTAGGGTGAACTAAACGCCCTTTCTTTTATAGGAGATTAGCGGTTCATTTCACCTACTACCGCTCACAACGGGTCGAACTCAGAATGTTCCCGTTCCAAAAGAAAATATCAAATTAGCCCAATCTTTCGCGTCGACCAATAACGAATCGTACGAAATAATAATGAGCGAAACGACGAACGACGAAATCATGAGCATCGACGATATTGACGGCGGCTGCGATAATATACGGAAAACAAATTCGGCTTTAATGAACCAGCATCAGAAGGATGCGGACGAAAATTTATTTTTGCGATATTTAGAGTTAGATCCGACGGAAGGTCCCGACGCCATACCGGCGGCGCTGCAGCGAAAGGCCACCGGAAATAAAAACGGTCGTACGCCGTTTACTACGACAAAAAAATTAATTAAGGTTCCCAAATCGGGTTTCGGTTTTTCCGTTGTTTGGACGCATCCTCCGCGCATTGAAAGGGTTGAAAAAGGGTTGCCCGCAGATAAAGCCGGAATTCTACCTGGGGATTATATTATCTTCGTCGATAAGCACAACGTCGTTACCATGCCAGAAATCGACATCTTGAATTTAATTAGGTGAGTATTTCGGGCTTTCATACATGACGGCACACTAATGGGTCTTTAAGGTCTTACGGCAACCAGGTTACTCTGGAGATGTTTAGGCGGAACGTATCCAGAAACGGTTCGATGGTTAGCGTACGGCCCGCTCCCGTACCTTGCGCCCTTCCGATCGTCCAAAACCAACATCGTCCCTCTACGGCCGAATCGGTTAACACGGCCTCGGCGGCGGAGTGCAGCAAAAAAAGGCTAAATCTACCGCAAGTCACCTTTAATGCGGAGGTTGGTAGTGGAGTCTTAGTGTAAACACGCCTTAAAGTCATATTTTGTTTTGGCCAGTACTGTAAATTGTAAGCTTGTGAAATCTGGGTATTTAGTTTAGTTGCTGTTAGACGGTTATTGTTTTTTTAATTATTTATTAACTTATTTTGAAAAAGAAATTGCTGTACTATTTTGTTAAGTTGTGTTCTGTTTGTCAATCGCCATTAAAAAGTGAATGTACCTGTTAATTTATAGTTTTTTTTACTTTATTTGTTGCAGGTAGCTAATAAAGCATGTTTGTTTGGTAGATATTTGTTCTTTATGGCTCGAAAACCATTTTTTTTTCAAAAATTACATAAAAGTAGAAGTTAAATTAGCCATAATTATCGCTAAGGGTTGAAGAATTGGAAACTAGAAGCAATCGGGTATTCTTAATGCTTCCCTGCAAGGTAAAAGCCCACTTTGATATCTTATTGTTTCCCAAACTTTGCTCAAACTAAGTAATTCATATAATATCGATGTCTTTCGATAAGATCCACCAACATTGCGCTTCTCGTGAGGATACCTACCCAAATATAGAAAGGGCAAGGTTAAACTTGTTGCGCTGTTAACATTTCCCACATCACGCAATATTATCCTTCCCAATAAAAACTTCGATGATAATTATGTACGTAAATATGATCATGTTTTCACAATTCGAAAAATGCGTAGTTAAAGTTATACGTGCAAGAAAAGGGAGGAACGTGGTAAACGTCTACGATAACCATCAAATTTACCTGCCCCAACATGGCTGCGTATGACTAATTACTGACGTTCACGAACTTTGATTTGAATAGATGATTTGGTAATCTACCCGGCTTGATTTAGGCGCATTGCTAATTGGATTTTTTCAAGCTTCTTATAATTGAAAATAAACACGACCTTCATGTTAACATTTCAAATTGAATTAAGGGCGAAATTGAATTTTAAATCGATTTGTGATTTAACGTTGGAAAATGGGGCGGATTTGCTATTATTAATAGCACTGTACTAAGCACCTATTTCATATTCATTTCTTAACGTTTGCGTGCTACATTTGCTGTGAAGGGGTTGTTTGGAGGTTGAGACGTTTGGAAATAGTTTTGTAATAATTGCGACAAGTATAATGTAATAATCTCTGTGTATAATCTACCCTGCAGCCATACAGAGTACAGGATGGCGCATTGGAAACAAAGCCTCGAACAAAGCTACTTTTGGACGAAAAACGCTTCCGATATGTATGTTAATTTTAGATTTGTGATATAACCCACTTAGAAATCCTTCAGGGCTAGTAGACCGGGAGATGGTGACACTTTTTCTGGTGTGATTTACTACAAGTATGGCGACCATTCAAAGGTTTAATTAAGTACACCTGAAAACGAAAATGGCGCTAACTCCCTGGGAGTGGGGCCGTTATTGCGTGACGACTGTTTAAACATATCGGAAAATTTAATGATTTTGGACAATTTGCTACACAAAATTCTTTGCATTTTCCAGTAGTCGGTGACAAAACAAATTGCGGAAACGAAATGCCATACTTTTCTGGTGGCCCTCCATACTAATTTAAATATGTCCATTGTTTTTTTTTTGTGGAAAACAGTCAATGCAAATTTTGGCGGCTTAACGATAGTTTTTGGCAAAAACGCTCGAACATGTAAATTTTTCGGGTTCTGAGGGAGATATCTAAATTAAATAATACTATTTACATAACTTCAACCCTGAGATGGGGGTGAATTTCATTCGAGAAATTTTAAATAGAAAGGAGAGGTAAACGTTAATATAATAATATAATAATAATATAATAATAATATTTATTATACCGTTATCCGTGTGGGTACACTTACGGTCGTCATTGGAAAAAAAAATATTACGAACAAAATACAAAGGTACATTCAGAGACTAACTAACAGAGGAGGATAACAGAGTACAATTTTACATATTACATCGCATAACAGTTTTTCATTAACTCTTCCTGACAATAAAAAGCATGTTTTGAAAGAAATGTTTTGAGGCGTGACTTAAGAGCTCCAATGGGCATAGATCTTATCTTATTAGGAAGGCTGTTGTAAAGAAGTTGAGATTGGTGGACTACACCATCCTGTGTTTTTGAAAACCTGCAGTACTTAGTTCGAATGTTATGCTTAAGCCTAGTATCGTGATCGTGTACGTTACATTGTTTTTTTGCCATTGATAAGTTCTGCTTAGCATAACAAATTGCTTCGAAAATGAACATGCAAGGAAAGGAAAGAATGTTCAGTTCAATAAAAGCCTTCTTGCAATCCTCCCTGTATTTCAACCCAGCTATAATTCTGATGGCTCGGCGCTGCAATCTAAACATGCATCGCCAATGTGAAGTACGTCCCCATGCTAATATTGCGTATAAGAGGATGCTTTGGATGAGAGCATAGTATGCTGTTTTGACAATCCTTGTTGATGTACTATTCCGCAATCGTAACATTAAAAAAATAGCTGTATTAATTTTTTTTGTTAGATGATCACAGTGGTAATTAAAATTTAATTTACTGTCTATCGTACAGCCCAATAATGACATTTTATTGGTAACAAGGACCTCAATTCCTCTTTTCAGGGTTAGCGGCATGATCACTGTCTTATCCGTATTGAGCATCAGGTTATTATCAGTGCACCATTTTGTAACGTGTTCAATGCTAATTTGAATTTGACGTTTCGCATAGTTGATATCAGGGCTGCTACACATCAAAGTAGCCAACATCAGCGGGTAGGGTCAAGGGCATGTCATTAATATAGATAAGAAACAATATGGGGCCAAGGATTGACCCTTGCGGCACACCATGTTTTATTGGCAGTCTATCAGATAGGGAGTGACCGTAACGTACGCATTGGTACCTATCGGTGACATATGATTTAACCAGCTGTGCACTGGTGTTGCCAAATTTGTAGGCTTCCTTGAGCTTATGCTCACTAAGATTTTATGAGACACACAATCAAAAGCCTTGGAGAGATCCACAAAGGCAGCAACCATGTGACGACCATCCTCAAAACATTCTAGTGCATTGTTGATAAAGGTAATAACTGCATCTGAAGTGCTTTTTCCCTTCCTAAAACCATATTGATGCCGATAAAACAGATTGTTTATTTCAAAAAAGCTTATAAGCTGTTTGTATAAGATCTTCTCTATGACTTTACTGAATATGGGTAAAATAGATATCGGTCGGTAGTTACTTACATTATTCATATCGTTGGAACCGTTTTTATACAGGGGAAGTACTAAAGCTACCTTCATTATATCTGGAAAGACTCCTGTGCCAATGATAGTATTGACTAACTTGGTTAGTGGGTAGACAAGGGAATTAATATTGAGTTTAATCAACTGAATGCTTAGACCGTAAATATCCCTGGAATGACTATTTCTCAGACTGGTTACTGCGTCGCGAATTTCAACTTGGGATACATTTTTAAAATCAAAGGTCGTATGAGAGGAGTTTAGTTTACAATAGTTCATGGAGTCGGTGTTCCTACTGGGTAAATTGGCTAAAATGTTGTCTACGATATTAGCAAAATACATATTAAATTCATTGCAAGATAAATTGGATTGAGGTACAATATTACAATTTCGTTGTGAATTGATTACTGTCCACATCGCTTTAGTGGGATTGCAGGAGTTTTTAATAAACGTATCATTTGCTTTCATTTTAGCCGATCTTATTTCCTTTTTATAAGTTAAAGATAAGGATTTCTTTAGGTCATAAAGGTTCTGAGAGCGGTACCTGTTATACAATTCACTAATGAGTTGTAAATGATCTCTTAAACGAGATAGGTTTTGCGAAAACCAGTTTACGACCTTGCCATCATTTTTTTTAGTTGTATTTCTAATTGGGAAACTAGCAATGTAAAAATCATAAATAATATCGTGAAAGTTCTTAAACGTACTATTAAAATTTTTGTGTTCTAGTTCGATACGCATGTTTATTCTGTTTTCATTTTATAAATCCGATCAGTAGTTCCAGAGAAAACTCGATTTAAATGGATTTGCAAAGCCACCTTCCCAACAATAACAATTATTCGAGAATATCACCTTCTATGTATCGCTCATCACAGTAATATGACGTTCCTTAATGTTGGTTATCATTGAATCAATAACATCTACTAACAATATCACCTTCTATGTATCGCTCATCACAGTAATATGACGTTCCTTAATGTTGGTTATCATTGAATCAATAACATCTACTAACAATGACAAATACATGTCTCCAGTCAGATTACCGGGAAAAAAAAATTTTTTAATAATAAAATAATCTCTCTGAAGTTCGTGCTAGTCCCAGTTATAGTGCAAAGATGTTTCAGGAAAACAAATTTTCGAGTATGAAGAGTATGGCGTATATATCATGGATCAAATTGGAGCATGAAGTTTCGGAAAATCCAAATGCCCAAGATTATTAACAAAAAATGACATCTTTGCGGCGGTATGGCGGCCCGTCGGAGCGGTGTGACAGGATGATTTTCGTGAATGACTGATTGAGGGCTGATGATGGTCATAAAAATATGAGCTTGTAGCAAAACACAAAAAAAAAAAACAATCGACACGTTCAAATTAGTATGGCGGGTCATTTTGTCACCGACTACCAGAAAATTCAAAGAATTTTGTGTAGCAAATTGTCCAAAATCATTAAATTTTCCGACATGTTTAAACAAAAGCCACGCAATAACGGCATCACTCGCAGGGACCATTTTCATTTTGAGGAGTATTTGATAAAACCTTTAAATGGTCGCTATACTTGTAGCAAAAAAGTGTCACCATCTCCTATAGTGACATGAATATCGTTGAAAAGCCATCCCTCCCTGAAGATCGGACACAAGGAGGTCTTAAACATACTTGCATATGCCATTAAGAAGATGTTCCTACGATCATTAGTAATGAAAATAAAAAAATTGATTCAAAAACACTCCCTTAAGGGAGGTTAGAAAAGAATTTACGTATCAATAAGTACTAGTAGTGAGGTCGCTTAATGAAAACATATTTA